CCCCAAAACCCCAAAACCCCAAAACCCCAAAACCCCTTCTTATTATTAAGACTTTGCAAAATTTAGTAAACTGAAAGATTTCTTATCTAGTCTTCTTTAAATGTACTTTTTGATTGGTACTCTTTTCTGATTCTCTCATATTTAGCTATCTCTTCTTCATGATTAGCTTGCCTTTTCCTTAGCTCTCTAGCGAATAGAGGAGTCTTTGCTATAAGAGAGATAATATCATGCTTTAAGTGGGCATATGTTTGATCAGCATATCCAATTTCCTTCAGAGTTCCCTCAACGTGCTGTCTAGCAGTGATAGAGAAAGGAATTTTCATCCCTGGAGGATTCATGTTTGACTCTACTGGAGATGGGACAGAGCAGATCACATCTATTTCTCCTCCATATTGACTAGATAAAGATTCAGTGAAGCTATGGATAAATGCTTTGGTTCCACCGTACACTGCTACACCAGGAAAGCCATGTTCTCCAAAACCAGCCCCAATGTTTAATATCAGAGATTTGCTTTTTCTTTTTAGTAATTTCGGTATGATATGTCTTGTGAGATGGACAGCTGGGAGGCAATTTACCTTGATCATTCTGTCTATCACTTCATGTGGCATGAATTCATAAGGCTGGATGGTAAGGATACCTACATTGTTGACAATACCAACGATTTCAGCTTCGAGACTGTCAATCTTTTGGAATAATTTTGAGTACTGAGTTTGGCCATTTTCATCAGGATAGTTGTAGGTATCGAAATCAAACTGGATGTAATCCACATTTGCTTGAGGGTGCTTTTCTTTGATCTCTTTTATACGGTGCTTTAGTTTCTTCTCATTCCTGGCTATCATTACTACCTATTTAAATTATTTGATGAAGACTTACACCAAATCCTCTTGAGATGAACTGGTAAGTATATTCTAGCCCGATACCATCAGTTGCTCCAGTAATAATGATACTTCCATCACCTTTTGGACAGTAGATACTTTTGAGATCATATCCTTTCCTGAAAAGATATATTAAAGCAGCTTATCTTAGTCTACCAGGTAAGAATAAAAGCTGGTATTGGGAATATTCCTAGATGGAAATAGATATATTAAAAAATCTACCTGAAAACCCTCCGATATACTACCATAGAGATTTTATAGGCATAAAAAGTAACCCAAAGAACTCCAATGCAAGTAAATATATGAAGCATTATTGATTATTTTATAGTTTAATTTTTGTCTTAAATACCTGGGGTTTTGGGGTTTTGGGGTTTTGGGGTTTTGGGG